CTCCTCCTCCTCCTCCTCCTCCGCCTCCTCCTCCTCCTCCTCCGCCTCCTCCACCTCCTCCTCCTCCTCCTCCTCCTCCTCCTCCTCCTCCTCCTCCTCCTCCTCCCCCTCCTCCTACCGAGAAGGGTGGCTCCGAGGTTGGCCAGCGTGGTGGCCACGTCGGTGTGATCGGGCCCGCGGAAGCGCTCCTGGATGGCGAGGGCCTCGCGCGCCGCCGCCGCCGTCACCGCTGCCGCCGTCGTCGTCGCTGTCGTCGTCGCCGCCGTCGTCGCCGCTGTCGTTGCCGCCCTCTCGTCGCCGCAGTCGCCGCCGCATCGCCACACTCCTGACGCATTTCGCCGTCGCTCGAAGTTCAAGAATGAGGGGGAACGTCCAGAGATTCGGCGGTACGACGCCACGAAATCGGCGATAGGCCCCCGATAGCAAATCCGCACGTTCCTGGGCGGGGTGGGAAATCGGCCCCCTATCGGCGATGCATGGGCGATTGGGGCGCAATGCATCTTCCCCTGAGCCTATCCGCTCTGACTTTGCCCCTGACAGGATGGATGATCGAGGTTCGAGGTTCAAAGCGTTTGGGTGCTTCCGGTTCTTTTCGGGCCTTCGGAGGGTTCCCAAGAAACAATTTCGAACATATTCAGATGGTTTCGGAAAGTCTCAACACGTTTCGGGAGGTGTCTGGACGCACCAGTCGCACGCGGCGCGCCTAGCGCGACTGGCGCATCGAACTGGCTATCCGCGGCCGCCAATGGGATTGCGATCGTTGCCCATGCCGAGTCTCGGGTGCTCCGTGCTGGGAGGGCGGATGGGAGTGAGCGAGACGGTGTGCCGCTTCCCTTGAAGGAACTTGCTCTTGCCCCTGCCGTCTCCGCTACCTCACCGTTGCCCCTGCGCTTGCGCCTGCCGTCACCGTTGCCAGACTCACTGGGCTCCCTGTATAAACGTGGCTGAAGCTGCCACCTTCACCTGTGGCGTCACACGTCCTATGGGCTGAGGGCGCTGCCCACGTGTTCAGGCGGCTCAGGAACATTGGGCTCGCCGCGCGCGAACGGCAAGAGCGCGGCACCACCTCCACCAGTTGCGGGACCGTTGCGCAAAGCCCTATGGATTGAAGGCGCTGCCCGGGTGTTCAGACAGCTCATGGTCGTTGGGCTCGCCGCGCGTGGACGGCACTAGTCTTGCGCGGCCTGCACCACTGTCTGAACATCGCTTAGCCGACCCCCATCCCTAGCGGCGTGGCCTGGGCCCCACTGGCCGATGTACCCCCCTCAATGGGGATATGGGCCGTTCCCTTCGAGTTTCGAGGGGTGCATCCCCAACTGGGGGGGTAATCTGGTGGGGGTCTCGAAAGAGATAGGGGATGGGGATGGGGATCGGTTAAGCGATGCCGACTGTCGAACCCCGACTGGAGAGCAGGCAGAGGGCGGCGAACTCCAGCGGCACGCCCCTGCCGCCCCCAAAGCTCACGGTGGCCCTGCGCTTCTGGCGGGGGCCCCGTCGCCCCGCGGGTGCTGGTAGATCGCGCGGCTGCCCGTCGGCCCAGCCCTCCACGTCACGAGGACTGGCTCCCTCCTCCTCCTCCCCCTCCTCCTCCTCCTCCTTCTCCTCCCCCTCATCCTCCTCCTCCTCCTCATCCTTCTCCTCCCCGTCTCTCCCTCCTCCTCCTCCTCCTCCTCCTCCTCCTCCTCCTGCTCCTCCTCCTCCTCCTCCTCCTCCTCCTCCTCCTCCTCCTCCTCCTCCTCCTCCTCCTCCCCCTCCTCCTCCCTCCTCCTCCTCCTCCTCCTCCTCCTCCTCCTCCTCCTCCTCCTCCCCCTGCTCCCACCCCTCCTCCTCCTCCTCCTCCTCTTCCTCCTCCTCCTCTTCCTCCTCCTCCTCCTCCTCCTCGTCCTCTTCCCCGTGACTGGTCACCCACCGCAGACATCCGCTCCAGCTGGTGGACTGGCTCCAGCAGCCGCGCCGCCCGCCCCTCGAGGCGACCTTCTGCGCCTCCGGCTCTGCCTGGCAGCCCGTTCAGACAAAAGTGCCCGCGACTCCAGCGACAACGGACGACTCGAACTGGACTTTGGCTCCGTAGGCCCAGCCAGCCAAGACGACCTGCGGAGGCAAGGCAGCGCGACGGGATCACAGGAATGCGCGGCAAGGATGCAAGGGCCCAGGACGCCCGCACTCTGGCCTCTAAAACGAAAGTGGCCAGGGGCACTGGCTGAGGATGGGACGAACATGCAAGGATGCTTTGGTGCAATTGTGGAGCTGCTCATCCTGCTGCTCCTGTTATTTGTATACCAGCGGCGGATGTCATAATGACCGCTCAGTAGCAACCGTAGCGGCGCCCTGGAGGACCACGTTGACCTGGAAAGGTCTGCGCCCAAGCCCGACAAGCCCCTTTGGGCGCACGTGGTTTAGAGTGAGATCTCTCCCTGAACGCGATATTCCCCTTCGCGGATGGGTTATCACTGACCACTATTGATCGGCGCGCTAAGCGTGCCCTCCGTGGCGCACGCGGCGCGTCTGTAGAACCAGAAACGTCTGGTGCGCTTTGGCATCTGGGCACCTGGCACACCTGATGCGCGCAGCGCACGCGCCACGCGAGTGGCGCACGTTGCGAGCGTGGCGCACCTGGCGTCCGCATCGGATCTCAATTGGCTGCCCGTCGGATGGCGGCCGCTGCGCAGGATGAGGCCCAGGTTTATTTGGAGATGCGTCGCCGATCTGTTCGGACCAGGGCGCTGAGCTCCGCGCACGAATATCGCATTAATTCCACGCGGCGCCGCTGTGGCGGCATCAACGCAAAACCCTTGCACGCGACAGCGCCCCTCGGGTTGCCACCCGCTTTGGTGCCAGGGCGGGCTGGAGCGAACGAGACGGATTCAAGAGGCCTCTGGTCCACCACCCAGGCACGGTGGCGGTACTTCTGGGCCTCTCCACACATGGCGGCATCAGCGCAAAATCCGTGCACGCGACGACGCCCCTCGGGTTCCGACCTGTCTTGGTGGCAGGGCGGGCCGGAGCGAGCGAGACGGAATTTTTGGCTGCGGCGCCCGCGCGCAGGCTCTACTGACCGCGCCCCTCGGAGGGCCCGCCGCCCCGACGCCTCCAGCGCGCCATGAAGAAGCCGTCGGTGCCCTCCACGTGGGGCATGAGCGTGCGGTGGTGCGGGTCCGCGGACGACGCCCGGGCGGTGCCACAGGTGTCCCTGGCCCAAGGTGCTCCCAGTTCTCCGCTCCACTTTGAACCCCCAGGGCCCCCTGGGCCTCGCGAAGGGTGCCCTGGAGGTGGAGGCCGCAGGGATCTCCGGGCCACTCCTGGGGACACCGTGGGCCAAGGGCGCCTCTGGCAACACCCGGGGACGCGCGGGAGAAGGGCAGCGGCTCGAACTCGCCCCCGCACGCGGCCTCAAAGGCGCAAGCGACCCCGGCGTTCTCCGCCCTCAGCAGCGAGCACGTGGCGTAGACCAGGCGGCCGCCCGGGCGCACGCACTGCGAGGCCTCGCGGAGCACTTGGGCCTGGATTTCGGTCAGGGCGGCGACGCTGTTCTGATCCACCGACCAGCGCTGCGAGGGGTGCCTAGGAGGACGAGCAAATAACGATACTGCTACTCTCCAGGCCTCGGGTGCAGTCTGATTCGGATTTTCATGCGAGTCAGGCCGTGGCGGCGAGGGCCTTCCAGGAGGCCCAACAAGGACAAAACAAAGGAGGGGTAGCGGTATTGGTACCTGTTCCTCCTCCGAGCCTGCGCAGAGCCCCCGTGGACGAGCACGGGGCGTCCACCAGGACCGCGTCTGCCCCGCCGCGGTACGGAGGCTCGTCGGCTGGGCAGCGCTCGCAGGTCCGCACCAGGCCAGCGGCGCCCGCGCGCACGCAGCGCGCGCCGCACAACTGCAGCCGCAGCTCCTCGTCGATGTCCCAAGCTGCCACTGCCCCGTCGGGCGCCACGAGGGTCGGGTGTTGCTAAAACTGCCCCCAGCCCGGATTGCCCCCAGCTTTTCGCTCACGTTTGGATCCCCGGGGCCTTCTGGGCCACGGGAGGGTTGCTCTGGTAGCCATCTGCATCTTCCCGGGGAAAGCTGAGGTCACCTGGGTCCCGGGCCACTTCCAGCAACACCCGAGAGGGAGGCGAGGGCCCAGGTCTTGCCGCCACGGCCCGCGCAGTAGTCGATCACCCGCTCGCCAGGGGCGGCCTGGGTCGCCAGCGCGATCAGCTGGGAGCCCTCGTCCTGCACCTCGAAGAGGCCGTCCTGGAAGCCAGGCAGCTGCCACACCCCGCCGCCTGGAGGGCGCCCGTCCGGCAGCCACACGCCCCAGGGCGACTCCGCGGTCGGCTCTGCGCGCACGCCGACGGCAGCAAGCGCGTCGATCAGCTCGGGCCGCGTCGTCTTTAGCGTGTTGGCGCGCAGGGTCACGCGGGCGGGGCCAGACATCGCCTACAGGCCACCACATGCAAACCCTGCCCCTGGAAATTCGGCGGTGGACAAACCTCCCTTTAGTAAACCACCCTTCAGTGAAATCGGCCTGGGACCGAAACCGGCGGACCTGGACCCACAAAAATGACGGCCGCGACGCCCTCTCGCGAACCGAAAACGGCCGATTCGCTACTCGACGTGCCAAGGTAGGAGGCCTGTCAACCTCCGAGAAATCAAATGTCTGAAACGCCGGCTCCGAAGGATGTCTGCAGCTGGAGTACGGGATCGTCTGCAGAATTGATGTACCCCAACGTTGATTCTCTCTCGTCGAGTCATACGCAGGATGTGTGTGTAGATCTACAAACGTTCTACGCATTTCTCATGGGCTCGACGCGAAAATCAGTTTTGGGGCACACCACTTCCGTAGTCTCGATCCCCTGCTTGAGCAGCCAGGTGACCGCGGCGGGCGTGCCCCACAGCCCAGCGCCGCCGGGATCCGCAGGGGTGGGGCTCGCACGCGGGCGCAGAGAGCCGAGGCCCCGAGGGCCCTCTGGGGACGCCCAGAGGGAACGAACACGTCTGCAGGCATCCGCAGAGGAATCCTCAGGAACCCGAGGGCTGTTTTTCGGTCGCAGCTCTGGTAGCAGACCGATCTCAGACGTCTCGATACTCCAGACTAGCGCTCATGATCTTTTCCATTCGAAGGGTGTGCTTCCCGGCTCCGCGCCTAGCGCTTCTTAGCATTTTCTGTCGATTGGTGTATATCTCAAGTTAATAGAGAAAACAAGCATCGCCTCTTACAAAAAAATGCAGAGTCCGAATAGTGCTACAGTCGGAGCTCTGACCCTCAAGAACATCTTGAGAGGCCCTCGGGAGTCCCGAGGGATCCCGAGAGGCACTCGGGCATCCTCGGGAGTTCGGGGGGCTCCCGAGAGGCCCTGAGGAAGCTTGAGGAAAGATCCTCGGGCACCCTAAAGGAATCCTGAGAGGGCCACCTTGGGCCAAAACCACTTCTATTTGGACGCCCATAATGGTACGGAAAACATGGGCACGATGCCCAACAACAACTGTTGTCCCACACCAACAGCGGCCGCTGTCGGGCAGGCGCCCTCTGTCCCAAATGAACACAGGCCGCGGCGGCGCGGACAGCGAGCCCTGTCCGAAAAGAACAGGAACTGATGCTGGGCATTGCAGGGCTGAACCTAAACGGTGTTTTTCGTTTTCGTGTTGCTTTCGCTTTCCATCGCTTTGATCTCGAATCCGCCTTCACCGCAAAACAAAGTCGAAACGAAACCGGCCCACGACATGGCCCAAAACACCGTTCAGGTCAAGCCCTGGGGCATCGTACCCATCCTCTCCGTACTCATTTCGTTCGTGCCGCTTCGAGCAGCGCCCGACCCGCCTGCCCCAGCGCGAACGCCTCTGGCGCGCCGAGTTCGCCGACCCAGCGCTCGGCCAGCCACGGCGGCAGGGACCACTCCGCGGCCAGCGACATCTCGGCCGACGGCATTTCGCCGTCCCGGAGGAGTCGGGGGAGGGCCAGCTGAGACAGCGAGTACGAGAACGTCGCCCGTGGGCACTGCACCGTGCGTGGGCTCTCGTCGGGCCCCGGTCGTCGGGTGCTGCTAGGAGTAACCCTGGCCCAAGGCGCCCGCAGGATCCTCGGGGTGGCCCAGGCGGCCCCTGGGGCACCCCTCACGAGGCCCAGAGGGCCCCAGGGACTCCAAGATGGAGGGAGAAGCTGGGGGCACCTCCAGCAACACACTTTCTTGGTCTGCGGGGCGAGAGCGAACCTCTTCCGATAAAAGCTAGGCGGGCTACGCACAGCTCTAATTGGGGAGACAGGGCAAAGGCGGGCGGGGCCTCAGGCGACCAAGAGGGCGGGGCCTGGGGTGCAGGCGGTGCCGAGGAGCTTGCACAGGAAAAGGTACTCCGTGGACAGGAGCCGGAGGCGAAGATCTGGATGGTACTTCCAACAACACACGCGCTCGAACGCGCTGCGGTGCGAAAGATGTCGGCTCTAAGGGCTGGACATGATGCACAGCAGCTGCAATTTTCATGGGTCCAGGATCGACGACGCCTCGGAGACGTCAACGCGGCACGGTGCACACAGGTCGTCCGCGGACCTCCGCGGCTCTCCCGCCCAGCCCCAATCCGCTCAAACTCTGTCTCTGGACACCTCCTGTAGGGGGCCACATGCGAACCCTACCCCTACCCCCCACGATTTCTGAGGGGGAGGTGGGGTTCACTTCGTTCGGGAGCTCCCAAGCAAAGTGAACCCCACCCTCCCCCTCAGAAATCGTGGGGGCTAGGGGTAGGGTTCGCATGTGGCCCCCTATCCATGATCCAGGGTCGAGGGCCCACGGGCCCCCCCCCCCCCCCAGATGGTATGGTCCCAGGATTCATCGGGCCCCCCCCCCCAGATGGTATGGTCCCAGACGACGACGACGACGACGACGACGACGACGACGACGACGACGACGACGACGACGACGACGACGACGACGGCGACTACGACGACGGCGACGACGACGACGACCACGACGACGACAACGACGGCTGCGGCGGCGGCGACGACGACGATGACGACGATGACGACGGCGACGACGACGATGACGACGACGAGGACGACGAGGACGACGACGACGAGGAAGACGAGGACGACGAGGACGACGAGGACGACGACGACGACGACGACGACGACGACGACCTCTGAACCACCACAGCACCACACCACATCCACAGGGGGGGGAGGGGGGCACCGCAGCGCAGCACCACGCCACGCCCACCTCTGAACCACCACAGCACCACACCACATCCACGGGGGGGGAACCGCAGCGCAGCACCACGCCACGCCCACAGGGGGGGGCGGGGGGGACCATCGCGCAGGGGGGGGGGGGGGCCAATGGCATCAGCATTGGGGGGGGGGCCAAGCCCTGGACCATCCATGCTCACCCGTTTTTTCAGGCGGATCCAGGGGTGCCGACGAGAAGCCTTCCAAAGGGGATGGACATCGCCAGGGAGGGGCTGCCGCTGTCTCGACAGGCCTTCCTCCGAGAAGAGGGGCGCCGCGGCCGCGGCCGCCAGCTTCTCGCCGAGGCCGGGAGGCGGCGGCGCAGCCAGCGCGCTGGGTGGGGCGCCGACGCACCTGCCGCGCGCGAGGAAGAGCCGCAGCATGGCCTCGGCGTCCGCCCCCGCGCCAGCCCCGACCTCGCGCTCCAGGAGGTGCGCCAGGCGGCCGCGGAAGACCGCGACGCCCAAGACTCGGCCCGCGACCTCCTTGCGGACGTCCTGGAGGGACACCGCTGCTCCCTGCATGGGCCTCTCCCGGGATGCATCCGATGTCCAACTTTGTGCCATGCGGGGTCCCAGTGGTTCAGAGAGCCGTTCTGTTCCACCCCCTTCTTCCCCTTCGGGGAGGTGCTGACCCCTCCCCCTACCCCCTACCCCTGGGCCTGGAGGGGGGGGGGGCGCGGGTGGTTGGAGCGTCTGTTTTAGCCTAAGATGGCGCCGAGACAGCACAAGAGAGCTCAAAATGAAATCCAGTATCGCTCAAGATAGCCCTCGATGACTCAAGGCAGCTCTTGAGAAGCCTACACGAGGCTCCAAGACCGCCCCAAGACGGCCCCAAGTGGCCACGGAGCCTCCCAAGGACGCCCCCGGGTGGTCAAAATCCTTCAAAAACCTAAGGCACATCCATGTTTTAGCCTTCTCGCCTTTTGGCTTGCTTTCAATGGGCTCTTGGGCTTCAAGATGGCCCCAAGATGGCCCGAGAAAGCCCCAACACAAGCCCGAGAGAGGCCCAACACGGGCCCAAGAGCGCTCCACGAGCGGCCCAAGAGGGACCAAAAAGGCGACGTCTCGGGTTCAGAAAGGGGGTGCGTAATTGACGCCGCGCTCCTTTTTCAGCCGTGGCCTCCAAGATGGTCCCAAGAGACCTCCCAGACACCCCAAAGAGCCCCAAGAGGGCCCCAAGATGCCCCCCAAAAACCCTGAGTGTGACCACGAGGACCCTAAAGGGGTCCAGAGACCTCCTGCTCCGCCTCGTCCTCTTCCCACTGCCCCCACAACGATGTATAACAGAAAGTCGGTAGGAGGTGGACGGAGGAGGAGGAGGAGGAGGAGGAGGAGGAGGAGGAGGAGGAGATTCGCGAGATCAGGAGAAGACACGCTGGAAAGTCACGACCATCCGCGTGCGTGGCAAAATGTGTTGTTTCGGGAAGGGTTGGTGGGGGTACGCCAGGCGTGAACAGTTTTGTTCAATGCGGGGTCCCCGAAGTCCCAGCCCTTTCCCCGAGGCCGTTGTTCGCCTGGACTAATAAACTGTTTGACGGTCTGGATGCCGAAAGCGGCCAAGAAACCAACCGATATTGATGGAGCCACTTCGAAACCAAACTCTTCTTGGCAATCGCGAGAGAGCTGCTGGGCCAAGGCCTTTTTCCTGGGCGTACGTAAGAGTGCTATCTCGCGTGAGAAGCGGTGACGGCGCCTGGGAAGCCATCGCGCAGGCAACGTGGACATGGCCGCAAACGCGCTTCAATCGCGGATGCACCGCCGCCGCCGACTGCCTCGCGAACCGACTGCCGGGCGACGGAGTTTACCAAATGCAGTGGGGAACCAGCCCCTGCCGAGGCGCGCAGCAGGGAGTGGGCACAGGCAGCATTCCCAGCATTCCGTCGCGCAGAAGACTGGCGAAGTCGCAGCGCGCGGACAAACTGCCATCGCCGTTCCTGGAAGGGGGGCAAGTCGCGCAGCCGCGGCGAAAGCCGCGCGCCCGAGCATGCCGCAGCATGCCCCCAAACGAATTGAGAAGCGTCGTTGCGCTTGCTGGGGCCATCGTCGCTGGACCCCTGCCCCCGCGCGGCATCGCGCCGACATCTGGCGAGCCGAAAAAGCGCATAGATCGGCGTGCCGCGCAGATGGGCGCGAACCGTAAAAGTTTTCGTCTCCTGGGGGGCGGCCATCGCTCCACCCTGCAGCGCGGCAGGGGCCCTCGCGCACTTGCTCGCGCGCCGCAATTCACTGCCGTTTTCGGCGGAATGGCAGGAGCGGGTCCTGCGCACAACCTCGCAACGGCACCCGCGCCCGCGCCGCTGCCCCCATGGCATTGCAGGGCCGCTCGTCGCCCGCAGCGCAAATGGAGAGACCGCCGCCGCACCCGGGCGCGACATTCGTCTACGCAGGTCACCGCTTGCGCCGAGGGCGGCGTCGGCCCCGGGCCCAGACGCACGTCGGGGCTCGCGCGCAGCTTGCGAACTGGATTCGCAATTTGAGCTCGCGCATTGAGTTCGCGAGTTTAGTTCGCAACTGTGTTGCGTTCGCGAATTGAGTTCGCGAGTTGGGTTCGCGAACTAAGCTCGCGATTGGAACTCGCGAATTGAGTTCGCGAGTTGAGTTCGCGAACGGAGTTCGCGAATTGGGCTCGGGTTGGGCTCGCGACTTGAATTTCGGTAGTGAGTTGAATTCCCGCGTTGAATTGAGTTCGCTAGGTGAGTTCGCAAGCTGCAGGGACAGCGCGAATCCAGTTGGCGACTTGAGGGGGGTTTGCGAGTTGAGTTCGCGAGTTGACTTGAGTTTGCGATGTGAGCTCGCGAGTTGAATTGGGTTCGCGAACTGTTTTCCAGTAGCGCATTAAGTCAGCGATTTGTTTCGCGAGTTGAATTGAGTTCGCCATTGCACATCGGCGAATTGAGCTGGGTTCGCGATCAGCGTGCAGGAGTTGCGTTGGGTCCGCGAATTGTTTTCGCGAGATGGGCTGCGTTCGCAAATTGTTTTCGCGACTTGGGTTGATTTCGCGAAATAACTTCGCGATCTACTTCGCAAATTGAGCTCGCGGGCTGAGTTCGCGAAATGAGTTCGCGCGTTGAGTTCGCGAGTTGAACTTGAGATTTGAGTTGAATAAGTGAGTTGTGCTCGCGAGCTGAATTTGCGAACTAAGTTCGCCAGTTGAATTGGCGGCTTGGGTTCCAGAGTTGAGTTCGCGGATTGAGCTGGCGAGTGATTGTGGGGTCGCGGGTTGAGTTGACGATTTGAATCGAGTTAGCGAATTGCATTGAGCGCGCGCGCGCTGCGTTCGCGAGTTGAGCTGCGTTAGCGAATTGAGTCGGCGAGTTGAGCTGGCTTTGGGAACTGCTTCCGGGGGATGAGTTGATGTCGCGAACTGCTCTGCGAGTGGAGTGGCGTTCGCGAGCGGTTTTCGCGAGTTGGGTTCGGTTGGCGAATTTCTTTCGCTAATTAAATGGAGCTCGCGAGTTGGATTCGCGAGCTGAGCAAGCTTCGCCAATGGAGTTCGCGAATTGAGCTGAGTCGGCAAATGGAGTTCGCAGGTTGAGCCGAGCTCGCGAATTTAATTCGCGAGTTGTGCTGGGTCTGCGGATTGAGTTCGGGAGATGAGCTGTCCGCGAGTTGACTTCGCCAATCGATCTTGAATTTCTGAGTTGAGCAGTCGTTTTGATCTGGGCGTCTTCCTAACCAACGTGCGGTGTTGGGTCCTCGTTTTGAGGAGACAGCGCTCCGCGTGCCCCCCCTGCCGCCCCCCCCTCCGCCCATCCCTGCATCTGCCCTCCGCGCGTCTATTTCGGCGCGCGCCACGCGCACTTCGTGGCCCTGGGGAAGGTTCCACCAAAAGGCCCAACGGCTGCGTCCGCGAGCGCCCCCCGCGCCCGCGCCGGCGCGCCCCCCGCGCGCTGCGCGGCCCCATGGGGAGCCCCACCGAAGACCCAGCGACTGCGTTCGCGCGCGCCCGCCGCGCCCATGTCCACCGAAGGGCCCAGCGGGCGCTGTCGCATGCGCCCGCCGCAGCTGCGTCGGCCCACCCCTCGCGCGTTTCGCGGCCCCTCAGGGAGCTCCACCGAAGGCCCTGATGGCCGCGATGGCACGCGCCGCGCCCATTCCGACGCGCCCCCCGCGCGTTTCGTGGCCCCGCAGGCGGCTCCACAGAAAGCCCCGGCGGCTGCCGTTGCACGCGCCCGCCGCAGCTGTTTCGGCACGCCCCTCACGCGTTTCGTGGCCCCACAGGGAGCTCCACCGAAACCCCCAATGACTGCGTTCGCGCGCGCCCACCGCGCCCGTGTCGGCGCGGCCCGCGCGCGTTCCCGGCGCCGCTGGGAACCATTCGCGCCTCGCTCGTTACAAATGACAAGCATGCGCAGCAGAAACGCTGAACATTCATACCGCGATGTTATGTTTGTTTGGAAGGGGCCAGCTTCGACCTCGCGCCCTGTTGCCTCAGGAGTGTGTCCGATGAGCCAGAGGCAGTTGTCCCAAGGGCGAGTTTCAGCGGCGATGCGACGCGACAGCGAGGCGAAGCAACCCTCATGTTCACCCCCTCGACGCCGCATCACTCTGAGGTGTCATTCTACGTCGTCGCTAGAAACATTCCCTGACACGGTTCCGCATCAAAGGTCGGCCAGCCACGCATGAGGTTCCGAACTGCCAGAACTGCGTGTGTTCCATCTGGAAACCGGAAACATCAAGGGGTCCTTGCGAATGCGACTTCACTGGGTTGTCGTTGCGCCGTGACCTGGGATTGCTTGATTCAAGATCATGTTGATCGGATGAGTTGTTCCCGCAGTTGCGCGTCAACATCATGTTGTTCGGGTGAGTTGTTCCTCGCGGCTGCAGTCAAGACTGTTTTGTTCTGGCTAATTGTTCCCCCCTCCGCTCAATATCCAATAGAGGTGGCGCATCAATGCTCCGCAGGCGCCTATCAGATGCGGGCATGTCTGGGCAAGACCTCGAGGCGAACTCCGCCGTGGCAGTGAGGGGTCCGGCAGCGAGACCGGCACCACCTTCTCCTCCTGCTTCTCCTCCTGGCGTCCTGGTCGAGCTCCGCGTGGCGCGCCCGCATGGCCTGCCATGAGGAGGGTTCCCGAGATCCTGACTTCCCAAATGCCAGCAGCTCCTGGGGGACCATCCTTGACTGCCGCCGGCTCCCGCCGGCGGAGGCGGCCTCGTTCTACTTCCGCCGCCTTCGGCCGAGGAAGAGATGCCAACTCCCTCGGTCCTCGCAGGCGAGGCCCTTCCTGGAACGCCCCATGGAAGAGACGGCCCCCGACGGAACCAGCCGTGGGACCCTGCGGGCCTTCCCCGCAGGACCGGAGCTGCTCACCCCGAGCCGTTCTCTGGCGGCCCCCGGGGCCTGTGGAGGGCCCAGGCGACGCCGAAGGCCGGCGAAACATCTCTAGAGGCCTCCTAGATGGGCTCCGAGCACGTGGGGTCGGAGGACTGCGCTGGATCGCCGATGGAGCGCCGATGCATCGGCGATGCATCGACGCTGCATCGGCGATGCGTCGGCGATGCACCGGCGACTCCAGCGTGGAGAAAATCGGGCTCCACATCGAGCCGCATCGGCGATGCGGCGCGATCCTCCGACCCCATCTGGGAGGCCTAGAATCTCAGGACCCATCTCCCCGAGATCCGACTTCCTTCCATGGCGCACGGCCTTCGACAGCTTCTTCTCCACGTCGCTGCCGGGGTCCCCGAGCCTCGAGGAGGAGAAGACAACATGCACAAACTTTCGGAGATCCGCGCGGCTCTCTTGGACCGGCGCTGGACCTCCTGGCGGCGCCTCCAGCGCCCCCCCCCCCCCCCCCATGTCGCCCGCGCGGACATCCGAAAGAAGGTGCGGACGCTTTTTTGGCACCCGAAGTATCCGGGATAGGCCTGGTCTGGGTGGGGCTCTTCTCGGCGTGTGTGTGTGTGTGTGTGTGTGTGTGTGTGTGTGTGCAAGCCCTCAAGGCTTTCCCAGATACCCCCAGTTACCCTGGCTCAATCGGGGGCGGCCAAGAGGAGGGGCGTCCAAGAGGGGGGGTGCAAATCACGGCCGGCGGCATGTGCGCGGCCCAGCGGGGGGGCCAGGGACGTAATGAAATAAGAAGAGGCGCCATGAAATCTGCGGAAATATCATGGCCCCCGCCATGATATCCACCCCCCCCTAGTCATCACCCCCCTCTTTTCCGCCCCCGACAGTTACCCCGACTTTTCCGCCCCCGACAGTTACTCTCTTCCGCCCCCTCTTTTCCGCCCCCGACAGTTACCCTGGCTCAAACTTTTCGAGTGGAGCCACTTGATCCGGGATACCTCCTGCCTCAGGAGATATCTCACGGGGAAGAATGCTCAAGGAAAGCTCGGGTCGAATGCAGTCCAGAGAAACTCTGGCTCGAAATCGGAGAGGCTCGAATCAGGACTTATCTTAGAGGACTCCCAGATAGGCTCCAAGCAAATGGGGTCGGAGGCTCGCGCTGCATCGGCGACGTCGGCGATGCATAGGCACCATCGGCGTGGAGAACTTTGGGCTCCACATCGGGCCGCATCGCCGATGCCCTGGCGATGTGGCGCGATCCCCCGACCTCACCTGCTCCGACCCCACCTGGGAGGCCCAAAGGTCGATCCCTGACCACTCCGTGCCCTCACCACTCGGGGCCCGGATGTTTCCCTCCCTCAAGTGCTCCCAGCTTCGCGCTTCGCGCCGCGCGAGAGCGCGAAGTGCGAAGAAATCTTCGCGCTCTCGCGCCGCCTCCCAGAGAGGAGCGGAGGACCAGGAGGCATCGGGGCCGCGAGGCGCGAGGCGCGAAGCGCTTCGCGCCCTCGAGGGCGCCCCCGTCCTTTCCTCCCTCGAGGGCGCCCTCGAGAGCTTCGCGCCCTCGAGGGCGCCCTCGAGGGCGCCCCCTCGAGGGCGCCACGCGCCCAGCGCCGCCAGCGCCACGCTGTCCTCGAGGCGCTGCCGCGCCCGGCCGCCTCCCGCGCCGGGGGCGGGCGGCGCGGCCGGCGCGGCCGGCGCGGCCGGCTCCGCGGGGGGCGGCGGCTCGGAGCTAGAGCAGCTCGGCGCGGGCGCGGCAGCCGGGGCGGCCATGGCGCGGCGCACTCACGGGGGGGCGCTCGGACGTCCATTTCCCGTGCATCTGTCGGTGTCGCGCGTGTTTTCTTTTGCTCGGTGGTCCGGGATGGTCCTCGACAGTTCTCGCCGAGAAAACATGGCGCGGCGCGCTCACGTCTGCACGAACGAGATGGGCACGGAAAGAACGGGTACAATGCCAAACATCGGATCTGACTCCTTTTGAACAGGACTCGTGGTACACGCCGCCGCGGCGTGTGTCCATTCAAGATAGGAGGCCGCCTGCCCAACAGCGGCCGCTGTTGGTTTGGGACAACATTTGTTGTTGGGCATTGTGCCCATTCTTTCCGTACCCATTTCGGGCGTCCAAATCGCTTGCCGTCGCTCGGACGTCCATTTCCCGTGCATCTGTCGGTGTCGCGCGTGTCTTTTTTGCTCGGTGGTCCAGGGTGGTCCTCGACGGTTCTCGCCGAGAAAACATGCACACGTCCGAGCGATGCCAGGCTCATGGGGAGGCGCCAGCGCGCAGAGAGGAAGAGGACGGGAGAGACCAGGCTTCGAGGGGAGACCTACCTCTACGCATCAGGGCTGAACCTGAACGGTGTTTTTCGTTTGCGTGTTGTTTTCGGTTTTCCTCGTTTTGTCTTCAATCCACCTCTACCGCAAACCGAAATCGAAACGAAAACGGCCCACGAAATCGCCAAAGCACCGTTTAGGTCCACGCCTGCTGCGTATACAGGTGTATACATGCATGTTTTGTTGCAGCAATCGTATGTCCACATCAGCCGCCTGGGGAACCGACGTTCTGGGACCCCAGCGTGGGGTGGATCGGGCCGCAGGAGGCCCGAATCTGTATATCCGTACTCGCCGCCTGCCCGTAGTACACAGCACCGCCTCGCATATGTCACCCAACTTCGTGCACATGGCGTCCCGCGGTGTGCGGCTAGCTTCGCGCGCGCGCCCTCGCGCCGCCCTCCTCGTGGAGGAGGGCAGCAACTTCAGCCCAGACCGCGATGCGCGGGACGGCATTTGTCTTCGGGCCCTCGCGGGTGAGGAAGAACACTTACGTGTTCGTCGGCGGTCTTCGGCGGCCAATGGCGTGAAAGCAAGATGTTCCGCATTAACAAAGGGCCTATGATCGAACACGTAAGAACATGACAACCCAAGAGCTCCGTCGTGGAGAAACCGAGGCGGGAGGCTGCTACTCGTCCTCGGCCTCTGCAAAAGGGCCCACTGCCAAGCACCCGGGCCGTCAATAAAGGCCTCCCAGGCGGGGTCGGAGGATCGCGCCGCATCGCATCGACGTCGCCAGCGCGGGGCGAATCAGCCTCCACATCGAACCGCATCGGCGATGCATCAGCGGTGCGGCGCCATCCTCCGACCCCATCTGCTCGGACCCCATGCGGGAGGCCTAGCGTTGAGAGGCGACTCGGGGGTGCAACACTGGTCCCCTGTGGCGGGGAGTCTGGACCCCTGGTGGTCCTCGCTGCGCGAACACAGCGAGGTCGGAGCTCTGGGGCCAGGAGCGTCAGGGAGCCACAGACTGCGCGCCCCCCACGCGGCCGGCCCCCTGGAGCCAAACTGGCTGCGGAGGGGTGAGCGAGGCAGCCTGTGCCGGTCTGCTGGGAGAGTGGTTCATGCCCCAACCCGCTCCCCAGGGATTCTGGCCAAGGGGAGCGCGAGGTGTCGAAGGGGCCCACTGCTTCCTCTGCTGGCTCCAGCATGGCCTCACGTAGCCCAGCGTTGCCTGCAATGTTGCGCAGCAAAGCCCCAGTGCAGTTGGACGAGCATTGCCTCCAACACTGTTCTGAACGCCCTGACGCCCCAAGACGGCCCGATGTGACTTGTACAAGGCATCTCTTAGATGCCTCCGAGATGCAAGCCACGGGTGCATAGACGAACATACACATGTGTGTATATATATAGATATACACACACACACACGTATAAATTTAATCCCGCCAGCGGTCTGGGCGTAGGTGGTCTCATGATGTTTCTCATTCCTCTTCCAAAACCCCCCTTTCCTTCGGAGAGGGGTACCCTCCCCCTCCCCCTCCTGAGATGTGCTGTCACAAGATGGCCTTCAAGACGGTTAAGATGGACTACAAGACGGCCAAGATGGTCCAGGATGGCCGCCAAGACGGCCCAAGAGAGTCCACGATGCCTTCAAGTTCGCCCAAGCCTCCAAGACGGCCCCAGAGGCCCCCTAAGCGGCCTCTAAGACGGCCCCAAGAGGCCCTCGAATACGGCCCAAATAGGCAAACACGATTGACTTTCCTGAGGCTTCTGCTAGGCTTCTTTTCGTTCTTCCGACGGCCCAACACCGCCCAAGAGCACCCCAACAAGATGGCCCTAGGACGGCCCAAGAGGCCCTCAAGACGGCCCCAAGAGGGCCACAAGACTGCTCAAGAGGCCTCCAAGGCCTCCAAGATGGCCTCCAAGATGGCCCTGAAGCGCCCCAAGAGGGCACCAAGACGGTCCAGAAACGCCCCGAAGACGGCTCCAGAGGAATGCCCTAAGACGGCAAAAGAGACCCCCAAGGAGCCTCCAAAAGCCCCCAAGAAGCCCAAGGAAGCCCCCAAGATGCCCCCAAGAGGCCTCTAAGAGTGCCCCAAGAAGCCTCGTCGTCGTCCTCCTCCTCCTCCTCCTTCTCCTCCTCCTCCCCTTCCTCTATCCTCTCTCCCTCATCCTCTTCTTCTTTCTCTCCCACGTGTTCCCCGAAGTGTTTCCATGACGGCTGCGGAAACATATACTCCGATAGCTTGGCCGAGTTCTGGCCACAACGTTCGTCCACATAGGCACTTCCAATAGGCAGGGGGCGGCGGTGATTCACCGCTGGCTTCTTCGATGCTATAGGACATACAAGTGGTTGTGGTGTTCTGTATCGTCCGCTTTTTGTTCGCGCCCGATGGGCTTCAGAGGCCTCAACTTGACCCAAGGATGGCGAGAGAGAGTCCCAGGAGGAGGCCAGAAGGGCCCCAGGTATGCCACACATGCCTCCAAGAGTATCCCAAGAGAGCATCAAGAGACCGCCCTGCTAGTAACACCCATCCCCTCCCCGCGACCTCATACTACTCCTACTCCTCCTCCTCCTCATCCTCTTCCGCCTCCGCCTCCGCCTCCTCCTCCTCCTCCTCCTCCTCCTTCTCCTCCTCCTCCTCCTCCTCCCCTTTCCCTCCCACCCCCCCACCCCATCCTCCTGCCCTCCCCGCATCAGAAGGTTGCCTTCAGGCGAGCGCGGACGCCGAGAACACCCCCTGGCGGCGGCTCCGAGGCCACGGCAGCGGGGCTCTCTGCCAGCTGCGGGGCCAAGGCGCAGCATCGGAGGCAGGCCTGGGGTGGTCGGGGAAAGCGCCTGGGGGGTCGCGCGAGACCAGAGGCAGCCGGCCTGGTGGAGGTCAGGCGCCGGCCGAAAAAAGGGGCTTCATCCACATCCCCATACATGATCGCGTCGTGAAAAAATCAGGACGGGAATTTTGTTTTGCTATGTTCGGCCCCAGGGGCCTTCGCTGGGCCTCGGCACCGTCAAAAAACGGCTCAGGACGAACAACCGGTCCCGGGGAAAGGGTCGGGACTTCCATGGGCGCCGTCCTGAAAAAATCAGGGCGTCGCATGTCTGGGTCCGTGCCAGAACATCTGAGGATAAACGCGCACCGAGGGTCCCATCCGGACAGCGCGCACTACAGTCAACTCAACATAATGAGGATGCGCGATGCGGATGCAAGGGCCTTGGGCGCCCATTTCGAAGCTCTTCGAGCGGGGCGCGGCCAACGTAAGTGGCCAAGGATGGACTGGGGAGGCAAGGATGCAAGGGTACCCTTGGAAGGTTGCCCCTCCTTACTCTGGGGGTCGATTGCATCTGGCGCGGGGTGCTGGACCCCGCGGGGTCAAAATCGATCAACATCGAATCGGTCAATCGGGTCGAAACGGAATGTGCGTCGGCTCGAGCCGCATCGGCACGGAGTCGGAATCGATCGGACCGGCTGCGCCAGGACGCAGAAGCACTGGGCTGCATCGGACCCTCGGCAGATCGGAATCGAAGAGGATCGGGCCGGCAGGGCTCGATATCGAATCGGCTCGATCGACACGGACCCCGGCGGGGGCGGGTGCAGGAGTGCGAGGCGGGAACTTGTCCATACCCACCGCCTGGAAGCCGACGTCCTGGTGCCCCAGCAGGCGGTGTGGATATGGATCTAGTTTGGCCCCCGGGGGCCCGAACATGTCCACATCCACCGCCTGCCGAGGTCCCCGGAAATTGATCCTCCAGGCGGTGGTCATGAGTAAATTCCCGCCTCGGAAGGATCGGGGGCGGCCAAGAGGGCGGCGTCCAAGAGGGGGGGGCGCAAATCATGGCCGGCGGCATGTGCGCGGCCTGGGGGCGGGGCCGCGGGACGTAATGAAATAAGAAGAGGCGCCATGAAATCTGCGGAAATATCATGGCCCCCGCCATGATATCCACCCTATACCCCCCTTTTGCCGCCCCCGAAAGGAGGGGGCGTTGGGGGTCCCAAGGCCACGCGGTGACGGATCGTGCGGTGACCACGGACTCCCGGAGTACCCCGCCGCACGGTCCGTCACGGCACGCTCCCGGGGGCCTCGGAGGCCTCAGTCGCCCGAGACGACGCCCTCGGAGCACGACCCGCGCCCCAACACCGTGCGGCCACCCAGAATCCCCGCTGGCTGAACACCCCCCAAAACCTCGATCCTCCTCCTCCTCCTCCTCCTCCTCCTCCTCCTCCTCCTCCTCCTCCTCCTCGTGTCGTCTCCTCCTCCTCCTCCTCCTCCTCCTCCTCCTCCTCCTCCTCCGCCTCCTCCTCCTCCTCCTCCTCTTCCTCCTCCTCCTCCTCCTCCTCCTCACCACCACACGGTCTGGTCACCGCACCGCGTGGCCTCCCCCCCCCCCCACGGAGGCGGGGGGCGGCACGGCGAGGCGCCAGAACGGGGGGGCCGCGCGTGCCGCGGGTGCTCGCTGGCCTCGGGCTCCTCCTCCAGTCCCCTCGCGAGTCCCCTCGGAGCGGCAGGCCGCCCCCCCGTGGGGGGCGCACAGGACGTGTGCAGGAGCCGCGCCCCCGCCACCGCCGTGCGGGGGGTCCCGCTGGCAGGGCGCCCCCCCCCCGGCGCAGGGTAGCATAGTCGCCCCCCCCGCTCGTGGTCGCCCCTCTCCTCCTCCTCCTCCTCCTCCTCCTCCTCCTCCTCCTCCTCCTCCTCCTCCTCCTCCTCCTCCTCCGTCTCCTCTCCTCCTCCTCCTCCCCTCCTCCCTCCTCTTCTTCCTCCTCCTCCTCCTCCTCCTCCTCCTCCGTTTCCTCCTCCTCACTCCCTCTCTTCGCTGTCGTCCCCCCTCCTCCCCTCGTCCTCCCCCCCCTCCCCTCCCTCTGCTCCTCCCTCCTCCCCCTCCCCGTCCTCCTCCTCGTCTTGGTCCTCCTCCTGCTCCCTCCTCCCCCTCCGTCCCTCCTCCTCCCCGAGCCAGCCGAGAGCCTGCTCCAGGAGGTCGCGCTCCCTGTCCGCATGGCCGATGAGGCCATAGGCGATGCCTGGACGGGGCGCGGCGGCGGAGGGTTGGCCAGGCGGGGCTCCCGCCGACCCTGGTGCATCGATGGTGCCCCTCTAATCACGCGCGCGCGCCGTTCGCGTCCGGAGCCACATGAAAAGAGATCGCGACACGGATCCGCCACCCCTGGAGCCCGGCCACCGGGTGGAGCAGTCGGTCGGGCTCGCCCTCGGCGCTCGGCGTGCATGCCGTGGAAACCGCCAGAAGGCCACTGGAGGCCTTCAAGAGGGCCTTAGATGGTTTCAAAAGACCTCTGGAGGGCCCCAGCTCCCAAAGACGGCCCAAGAAGGCCCCGGGACGGCATTAGAGGGCACTTGGACGGCCCAAAAGAGCTCCAAACACGCCCAGACGGCGTTCTCCTCTACGAAGTACATCGAGCTGACCCGACGGTCTTGGTTCCACGCTTGAGGCTCGAGGTGTAAATTCCTTGATCGAGACAGACAAGCAATGGATCTAGATTCGAAGTCCGAAGATCGAAGATTACCCGAGTGCCTGGAGCCTTCCAGGCATTCGGGAAGCGACCACACATCGATTTGTTCGGACCTACTGCGACATTTTCGGCTCGTCATGGGAACGCTCCTTACTTCCTCAAAGGACCTGCGCGCGTGAAAACATCATCATTCCTTCCCCACTCCTGCGCACAAGCGTGCAAAGGCATCGGGCGAATGCGGTGTCAGCTGGCATCAAGGATATCAGAAAAATGAGCGCGTCGCCCGTCCAGGCCTCGAGGTCCCCTCGGCTGAAACAACACTGATTCATTGCTTTGCCGTGGAGGGTCCGAAACAAGACTGCATTTGTGCGGAGCGAGTCTTGTGTATATACTTGTATGTACTTTAGGCTCCTTCGGATGGGCGGGAAAGAAGATGAAGAGGAGAACTATGAGGAAACGCGGATGATGAGGAGGAGGATTCATGAAGAGGAGGAGGAGGAGGAGGAGGAGGAGGAATAGGAGGAGGAGGAGGAGGAGGAGGAGGAGGGGGAGGAGGAAGGAGGAGGAGGGAGGAAGACTCCTTGGGACGAGGAGGAAGGAAGATGAGCAGACAGATGAGGGGAGGACGGAGGAGATGGCGATGACTCGTGCACCCCCCTACCCCCCCCTGCGACTGCACGCACGAGCAACCTCGGGCAAGCGTGGCCCTCTGATGGGCCAAACCCCGACGCGCAGACCGCGGGGGGTGGCCACGTCCAACCGCGCAGGCCGCTTCAAATGGAGGAACGCCCCGTGGGGGACCGGCTCTAAGGAGGGGGGAACATCGACCTGGAATCGGCAATACGTCGTCGGCAGGTGGGCGATAGGCCCCCGATGGCGAATCCGCGCGCTCCATGGCGGAGTGGGCTATCGGGCCCCTGTCTGCAATCAACGGGCGATTGTTGAGCAGGGACCGACCGTCCCGACATTCCTATAGTCCTACCACGACTTGTTCTTAGAACCCAAAATGTGAGAAAAAACAAAAACAAGGTTCTTAGAACATATGTCCGATGTGTTTAAGCAAGACCATCCCAGCCAGGAATGTTCCAAGAACATGCCGTGGAAACCACAAGAGGTTCTTAGCACATTGTCTGGTAGGCCTATAGGCACGCCAGGACGCTTCGCCACTGCTTGAGATTGGAGGTCGAGGCGACCCCCCCAGAGCCCATCCCCTCCCGCCCCTGCCCCTGATCCCTCTGGGGCCAGCACCGACGGACCACTCCTGCAAAGCACCGCTCGCTCCGTCGCCCCAAGAAGGCCCGGCCCGCCCACGCCTAGGTTGTGCAGCCCGGCCGCCGTCCGCTCGCTGTCGCGGCCGTGGCCCTCCTCCAGCTTGCGGAGCGCGAAGGTCGCCACGTGCACGGCCGCGTCGCCCTGTAGCCGCGACCCTCCTCTCACACGCGCGGCCTCCTCCTCCTCGTCCTCCTCCTCCTTCTCCTCTTGCTCCTCCTCCTCCTCCTCCTCCTCCTCAGCCCTCCCACTCCTCCTCCTCCTCCTCCTCCTCCTCCTCCTCCTCCTCCTCCTCCTCCCCTCCTCCTCCTCCTCCTCTCCTCCTCCTCCTCCTCCTCCTCCTCCTCCTCCTCCTCCTCCTCCTCCTCCTCCTCCCCCTACTACTACTCAATCCTTCCCCTCCTCCTCCACGCAAGGTCCATTAATATGACATCGGGAAGTCGGATCGGATCTGAACAATTAGCCTGGAAAAGGACCCAACCATATACAGTTGAGCGTACTGCAGTTGTGAATACAGTCATCGGTGGAGCTCTGTATGGGCCACGAAACGTGTGAGGGGTGCGCCGAAATTGGTGGTGCGGACACATGGGGCACCGCCACTGGGGCCTTCGGTGGAGCTCCATATGGGGCCACGAAACGCGCGAGGGGTGAACTGAAATGGGTGGCGCGGACGCATGTGGACACCGCCACTGGGGCCTTCGGTGGAGTTCACAATGGGGGCACGAATCGTGTGAGGCGTGTGCCGAAATGGGTGGCGCGGACGCATATGGATACCGCCACTGGGCATTCGGTTGAGCTCCCTATGGGGCCACAAAACGTGTGAGGAGTGTGCCGAAATGGGTGGCGCGGACGCGTGTGGACACCGCCACTGTGGCCTCGGTGGAGCTTCTATGGGGCCACGAAACGTGCGAGGGGTGTGCCGACATGAATGACGCATGTGGACACCGCCACTGGGGCCTTCGGTGGAGCTCCCTATGGGGCCACGAAACCTGTGAAGGGTGCGCCGACAGGGCTGGCGCGGACGCATGTGGACACTGCTACTGGGGCCTTCGGTGGAGCTCCCTGTGGTTCCACGAAACGTGCGAGGGCTGCGCTGAAATCTATGGCGCGGACGCATGTGGACACCGCCACTGGGGCCTCCGGTGGAGTTCACAATGGGGGCACGAATCGTGTGAGCCGTGCGCCGAAATGGGTGGCGCGGACGCATGTGCATGGCGCCACTGGGGCAGTCGGTTGAGCTCCCTATGGGGTCACGAAACGTGTGAGGGGTGTGCCGATGGCGCGGACGCGTGTGGACACCGCCACTGTGGCCTCGGTGGAGCTTCTATGGGGCCACGAAAATTTGTGAGTGGTGTGCCGAAATGAATGGCGCGGACGCATGTGGACACCGCCACTGGGGCCTTCGGTGGAGCTCCTATGGGGCCACGAAATGTGTGAGGGGTGTGCCGACATGAATGGCGCGGACGCATGTGGACACCGCCACTGGGGCCTTCGGTGGAGCTCCCTATGGGGCCACGAAACCTGTGACGGGTGCGCCGGCAGGGTTGGCGCGGACGCATGTGGACACTGCTACTGGGGCCTTCGGTGGAGCTCCCTGTGGTTCCACGAAACGTGCGAGGGGTGCGCCGAAATCTATGTCGCGGACGCATGTGGACACCGCCACTGGGGCCTTCGGTGGAGCTCTCTATGGGGGCACGAATCGTGTGAGCCGTGCGCCGAAATGGGTGGCGCGGACGCATGTGGACACCGCCACTGGGGCCTTCGGTGGAGTTCTCTATGGGGCTACGACAAGGTGTGAAGGTGCTCCGAAATGAATGGCGTGGACGCATGTGGACACCGCCATTGGGGCCTTCGGTGGAGCTCCCTCTGGGCCACGAAACGTGTGACGGGTGCGCCGAAATGGATGGCGCGGACGCATGTGGACACCGCCACAGGGGCCTTCGGTGGAGCTCCTATGGGGTCACGAAGCGCGTGAGGGGTGTGTAGGAATGGACATGCGGAAGGCAGAGGCAAGGAAGAGGGGGGAGGGAGGAGGAAAGAGGAGGGGGAGGAGGAGAGGAGGAGGAGAGGAGAGGAACGCGGGGCACCGTCTCTTCAAAACGAGGACCCAACCCCACAGCATTGATAGGAACAAAACATCGAATCGGGCCATGTCAGCACGGAGTCGGAATCAAATCGTATCGGCCGCGCCAAGATGCACAACGACGCCATGCGAACATAGGGCTGCATCGGCTCGTCGGAAGATCGGAATCGAATCGTGTCGGCTGGCCTCCATATTGAACTTGGAGAAGTGTGACCGACACAGACCCTGTCAGGGCTGGAGGCTAGAACGGCTCAGAACAACTGAGGACGACGTCCTCGACGTCGTGAATTTGATTACCTGTGACGGTTCGGGAAACTCTCGTCGCCAAGGCTTGACGCGCGCGGCTCGTCAAACTCGTCAGGATGGACCCCTGGGAGGGGTGCGGTGAACCGTTTTGAGCCGTCGTCCGTCTCCTGCCCCTCCATCTCCTCGCCTCCCCCTGCCTTGTCTCGGGGGCGCGCCGACATGGATTAGCGATCCATGGATTTGGCGCGCGGCCACCAAATCCATGGATCGGGGGAGGTGCCCTCCCCAAAATGCGGCCGGTGGCGCCTCGCTCGGCGGCGGGAATCCGCGATTTCCAGTGGAAACGGGCTAAGCCACGCCTCCATTGATCCATGCTTGCGATCGCCCGACCATCTTGCGCAGGCTATGGGGGCACACGCAAGCGCCCGTGGCGCCTCCCCATCCCCCTCCCCCTCCTCCCCCTCCTCCTCCTCCTCCTCCTCCCTCCCTCCCTCCCTCTGGCTGTAGTTGTCCGTCTTCTTGGAAGTGCTTTTTTGGGGGGGCCTCCGCAGGCCTGCAGGCCGGCGGGGGACCGCGGCCCACGTCCTTCCAAGAAGAGCACCTCTGGAGGCATCCCCGCCCGTGCAGGGGAGGGGTTCTGACCAGGAGCCCGAAGGGAGGCTGCGCAGAGCGGGCCCGAAGCGTCCTCCTCCTCCTCCTCCTCCTCCTCCTCCTCCTCCTCCTCCTCCTCCTCTCCTCCCCCTCCTCCCCTCCTCCTCCTCCTCCTCCTCCTCCTCCTCCTCCTCCTCCTCTTCCTTCTTCTCCTCCTCCTCCTCCTCCTCCTCCTCCTCCTCCTCCTCCTCCTCCTCCTCCTCCTCTTCCTCCACCCACCATCTCGCTGCTAGCAAGTCACGGCGGGAGGTTGTGACCGTTCCTGGCCTCTGGGGGCCCAAACTGACCCCAGGGCCGTCAAAAGACGGCTCGGAATGAAAAGCCCGTCCCGGGAAAAGGGTCTAAGACCTCTGGGGGTCCACGCTGGAGGTCTGAGCAGAAAGCAAGAGGCCACCCTGCCCTCTTGGAATTCCGCCCCCGTCGTTCCATCCTCCTGGCTCCATTCCCCCCAAGCCTAGAAGGCGGAAGAGCCATCCTCAAACAACCACCCCCTATGGAGTGAACGCGCCTGAATCAGGGCAGGGCTGCTGCTCACTGAACGCCGGAGAGTGCCTAGCAATCGCCAGATGGCCTCGAAGACTGCCCTAGGGAGGCCCGACAACAACACCACCACCACCACCACCACCACCACCACCACCACCACCACCACCACCACCACCACCACCACCACCACCACCACCACCACCACCACCAACCACACCAACAACAACAGCAACAGCGACAGCAACAGCAACACCAACAACAACAACGACAACAACAACAACACCACCACCACCACCACCACCACCACCAACAACAACAACAACAACAACGCCAACAACATCAACAGCAACAGCAACAGCAACAACCACAACAATAACAGCATAATCAACACCAACAAAAACAACAACACCAACAACAACAACAACAACACCAACACCAACAACCACAACACCACCAACAACAACAACAAAAAAAGCAACCGCAACAGCAGCATCAACAGCAGCAACACCACCACCACCAACAACAACACCACCACCAACAACACCAACATCAGCATCAACAGCAACACCAACATCGATAACAGCAACACCAACAGCACAGGCAACAACAATATCAACAACACCATCACCATCATCATCACCAACAACGAACACACCAAAAGCAACAACAACCGCAGCAACAACACCATCTTGTTTAAACAAAAGGTCTCCCGTGGAAGGAAAGGGCGGGAGTGAGTGAGAGAGCGAGGAAGGGGTGCAGGGATGGGGGGAGGGATGGAGGATGAGGAAGAGGACTGACAGTCCACGCAGCTGCGCCCGCGACTTGCCTAAGAACAACAGGTGGAGGATATGGAGGAGGCGAACTGGAGGAATAATGCAAATAATACTGATGCCACGAATGGTCATTAGAACAAAGAAGAGGAGGAGGCGGAGGATGCAAAGGAGGAGGAGAACAAGGAGGAGGAGGAAGAGGAGGAGGAGGAGGACGAGAAGGAGGAGGAGGGGGAGGAGGAGGACGAGGAGGAGGAGGAGGAGGAGGACGAGGAGGAGGAGGAGGAGGATGAAGAGGCGGCCCGCCGCGTGCCGTTGCCGACCCGCGGAGGCCTGAACCAGCCAGCGCCGAACGAACACGGGCTCACAGAGGGAGGCCGCGCGGGCGCGGCGCCTCCCAAGGGGCGGCCCCCGCTGACTGCGGCGGCTGCGGCGGCGGCAGGGGCAGCAGCGCGACGGCGGCGGCACAATCCTCGCCCTCTGCCTCGAGGGGGGCCGCCGAGACGCGGGCAGGCCGAGGACAACAGCGGACCAGGATGCCGTGGGGGGATCTCTGGCCATTACCTGGCCGTTTTGTGTGGGGGACCCATCAAGCGCCGCGACCTTGTCGGAGCGTTCCGAAACGCTCGGAGAGCGTGCTGAAACGCTCTGGAACTGACTTATCCTTGTCCAGGGGGCGGGGAGCAGCGATGCCCGAGGAGAAGGAGGGGGAGGAGGGGGGAGGAGGGAAGGAGGAGGAGGAGGAGGGGGATGAGGAGGGAGGAGGAGGAGGGCGGAGGATGAGGGAGGAGGAAAGAGGAGGGACGGGAGGAGAGGAGGTAGAGGAGGATGGGGGAGGAAGGAGGAGGAGGAGGAGGGGATGAGGAGGAGAAGGAGGAGGAGGAGGAAGGGAGGAGGAGGAGAAGGAGGAGGAGGAGGGGAGGAGGAGGGTAGGGGGAGGTTATGACGGTAGTAGGAGGTAGTTGCTTATTAGTAGCGAGGAGGAGAGTAAGGAGTGTAGATAGGTGGGAGGAGCGGGGCCTCGTACAGGTGCTGCACACACTCAGGTCAGGTCGAGCAGCGCCCCGCGGGCAGAGAAGGCGGCCTGCCCGCGGGCGTGCCCCGAGGGGGGCCTCGTCGTCGTCGTCGCCTGCCGCCGTGTTGGTCGGTCGGTGGTCGTTGTCTCCGTCGTCGTCTTCGTCGCCGTCATGGTCCTCGTCGTCGCCAGTCGAGGTGCTCCGCCTCCCCCTCCGACGACGGCGCTCGAGGATGAGCAAGGACGGGGATCGCGGGGTTCGAGGGCCGAGACTGTCGCCCAGAGGTTTTTACAGTTGCTACTCGTCTGGGGGCGTCTTCGTGGCCGCGGCCGGGTCCGCCTCCACTCCTGCCAGAACGCGGCGTATGACAGGTCTGCTCATGGCCGATGTTGAGGGGAGAGGACGGGGAAGGAAGAGGAGGAGGAGGAGGCGGAGGCGGAGGAGGCGGAGGAAGATGGTGCGATTGTGGGCACGACGAGCTCCACTCAGCTCGTGCGCAGCAGGAGGAGGCAGGCGAGGAGCAAGAGGAGGGGAGGAGAAAGGAGGAAGCAGCGCGGAGAGGAGGCAGGAGAAACCAGGAGGTGCGAGGCGAGCAGGTGGAGGGAGGGGAGGGGAGGGGGGCAGGAATTTGCGGGAGGCCCCGGGGGCATTATTGCGGGTAGTAAAAACAGGGGGCTCTGGAGGGTCCTGAGGGGGACAGGACATGAAACGGGAGGGGGAGGAGAGGGGGAGGCGCGCGAGGAAGGGGTGGAGAAACCCTGACCTCCGACGC